AAGGTAGGTGTGAAGAAACAACCGTTCACGCAGTTAACCCAGTTCAAGTTTTGTGCAAAAACGCATCATCGCACCGGCTCGCCTGGTGCGTTCCAGCCTAGGTTTTCAAGTTAGCACACCGCCAATTGCAACTTTACGATCAAAATGCGTGCGTTGCAACTGCGCGCTACAGTTGAATTTGAAATCTTTAACTGACACATGCCCACAAGATATATCTGCACAGTTTAGCTCTCTATATTATATGGCTTCCACGACCGCCTTGCTGCCAAAATATATGCTTACTTTTCTGAGAGGCCCGTACGCAGGACTCAGACATATGCGGGTGATAATATTAAAATGGGAGGGTTGCGCATAGAGTGGACGTATACTCCCGGTGTTCCAGCCTTCTAGCTCTTCTAGTCTAGAACTGAAAGTGGATGACAGAAAGTGTGAACACACAGAAACATACACACACAGGGCATACATAAACAGCTTTTTGTCAATATGCGTTTTTGCGCTTGCATATATGCAAAAACGCATAAAAAGCACAGTCACACCGGCAGGCCTGTTGATTTTCGGTCAGGACTAAAATCATCATTCTTGTATGTCTAAATCTCACATACAAAAGATAAAAAGCTTTGGAATTTATTTTTGACCAGAAAATGATTTCGAGAACCGGATAAGATACAAAACTCACGCTTCACAAAAATATTCAGTGCCCCTGTGTAAGCTAAAGATTCCAAATTCATCTTAAACATATACGTATGTAGCCTGTACGGACAAGTCAAAATTGCGACTTCGTAATAGCTGGCAAAAGGTTATTAAGCTAAGTAGTTTTATCCGATTTCATATGGATATTTTGTCTAAGTGCAATTTCATAGACTTATAATGAGCAATATGTGCAAGTATGTCAAGTTATTTTTGGTGGGAAAGCAAATTTGAAAGCACTGATCTGGAAAACTGAAATTTTCTGAGGACATGAGGATATTTACAAGTCCAAGCCGTCTCACTACAATAAGGAATAGCACAAAAACGCATGTTTGCGCTGGTAAGCCCGCATAAATGAACCTGTCTAAGGGAAATCTACGCTTCAAACACCAACCAATCTGAATAATGTAATTTGATTCACATAAGGTTACGAATCTCATAGGTGCAATTTAGGGCTGAATTTTAAGGCATAAAGTAGAATTTGAAAGATTTAAATCGAACACGGGTTAGGACATTTTTGTAAAATTCTTTTATCCTAGCTTGACTAATTGGCTCTATCGCTTTTCACAACAAATACTTTTTTTGACATGCCCGGATGAACGATACAGGCGTAGCCAAAATTAATCTTGCACTAAATTAAGTGTCGAGGTATAGAAAAAAATATTTTCGTCAAGTTGGTGCTCTCTAACCAGTCAGCTTCCCGAGCTGGCATTTCGCCAGCGGTTCTGTAATCTTAACTTTAACATACTCCTAGACTTGGCGCAAGCGTGCATCAAAAGGCGCAGAATGTTCCTGCGAAGTTTCAGCATTCTAAGTTGCCCGGCTCCCGAAATCGCTTTCCCACCAAAAATGGATTAATTTTTTAAGTAGTTAACACAAGAGGCCTAGGCGTGGAAGAGTGATGACATGACTTTAGAGATAAATATTGTATGCGTGGTGAGAACTTGCTCCAGAAGTTTCACTTGTCTGGCTTCATCGGTTACCGAGTTGAAAGTGGGTGACAAAAACGCGAAAATACTCTTACATACACACATATATACACATACACACAGGCAGACAAACTGCCTTCAATGCTTTTGCACTTGCACAAATGCGCAAAAACTCATTAAAAAATATTCTTTTGGTAATTTATGTGTGTGAATAAAAAATTCATTACCAAAAAATGACAAAAAAATTCTCAAACAAGATGAGAAAGTAATACGATGGTCGTTTTCGCAATCCCATCTGTGGTAGATAAGATCGCCAACTACAACACCCTGCGCCAGCTGCCCATCGGGAGAATCTTTTCGGATCGTATATTTACACTGCGGCGGTACTGACCCTAATGGCAATGTTTCTGCAACCTTAATGCCTCTGAAAATTCACGAAAATGAGATAAAGTGTCTTTGAAAACTCATTTTTCTCTTCACCCTCATTAATTTATCATACCCGCTTAATAATCGCTCTTCCCTCACTTGCGTGTCATAATTTTATACAATAGTAGTTCGGGTCTCAGATTATCCACATAGCAACGTGCTTCAGGTTTCCGGTGTGACCATTTGTTTTGTCGCCTATGTTTGCAGCATTCCTAGGCTAGGGAGAGAGTGCATTAAAGCTACTATTACGGTTTTTCTTTCCCAACGAACCAGGAAGAATCTTCTTAAAATTTCAGCTTTTTGGCCCGCTTAAATGCCGCGAGTAAGGTGGAGCAGCGTTGCAAACTGAATATTTGGTTTGCTTGTATGCGGAGTACATGAATAAGTAGAAGATTATTTTATGCTTTCTGGCCTCCACACGTAATAGCAAAGCATCCTCAAAAAAATAAAGCTCCCTTGCTCAATCTGACTACTGATATATTGAGTGCTGATAGTGTCCCAAACTACACATTCACTTGCGCGTAAACAAGTTCCAGAAGTGAGTTAATGCTGAAGCTAAAATTTTTAAACCCCGCATAGGCAGAGAATATGCCCGCAGAGAATATATCTGGCTTCCTAACTGGACCATCTGGCGAAATCGCTTTTTGTTACGGATATCTTTGGCGTTTTCGAAAGTCTGACACAGCCACACGCCAAAGCGTATTTTAAGCCTGTGTGCCCACGCATGCAAAATAAATATTCCCTTAAAGTTAAAGTACTTTAACCACAATTTCTTTTTTGACGCATCAGTGCATGCTGCGTGGGCGGAAGTAACAGCTGAATATTAAACTTTCAGTTTAGGACAGCAATCCAAAAACTCTCAAAAATGCAAAGTGATGACATGTTGCTTATCAGGGTGCTGTGTTTTTCGCCTTTTTCCAGTCAAAATCTGGGCAAGGAACGGCAAAAAGCAAATTTACCTACGGATATTCAACTCGGCACTTAAATTCTCATCCACTGAGTGTCGGGCCCGGTGACACTGCAACAGGAATGCTTTGTCAGCACCAGTGACCAACCACTTGTCATGCATTACATTCACAACCACCGAAAAATTGTTTCCTGGCGGATGCAGCTGGAACAAAACCGGGCGGTGAGTTTTGAAAGATTAATACAGCCATAGCGTAACAAATGGTAAGGCATGTCCACACTCTTCAACACCGCCAACCATCAAAACGAGATGGTTGGCATTCCCGGATCCTGATGAGACACCTTACCACCTTGGAACAGCTAAAAAGCTTTGTGTGCTCCTGTTGCGAGAAATGCTGAGTCGATAATCCCCTCAGGAGATAGAATAAACATCCGGATCCGCTAGCAGGCTGATCGGAGGTGCTGAAGCATCGGAAAAAATAACTGGAAAAGCTGCCAGTTATATAGTTAGAGGACGACGCTATGAAGCAATCAAGTGAAAATGAAGGACATAAAACTAGTTAACCGAATTGGTTTCTTCGACACCGCACTGATCAAAATTAATGAACAGATGAATTTCACGCGTGGTGATGTTTTCACCGAACTGTTCGGCTTGTACTACCTTCGAACAACCACCCGTTGCCGCTTTACCTGGAAACCAAAAATATGAAGCGAGCCGAAATCAGTGCTAAAAAATATTAAGGACGCAAGTGCACGTGTCTAAGCTAAAGCTGCACGCAGACATCTGCTCAAGCAAAATCTCATTTTACGCTTGCTGGTTTGTGCATTTACTGCAGACAGTCTCACTAAATTGCTGCAGCCCTCATATGAACAACAAACATCCTCAGAAAAATGCTGTTTCCTGTTCAGTCGGGCTGTCGAGTTAATTGAGTGCTAATAGCTTCCCAAATTAAATATTCATTTGTGCGTACACGAGAAATAGGCTTGGTTTAATGCAGAATTTGAAATTTTAAGTCATAAATGGGCTAGAATTTTCTCAAATTTCTGCTTCCTAGCTTGGCTGGTTAACTATATCGCTCTTGCCTGAATGAGCGACATGGGCATAAGTCCAGCCTCATTTTATGCTCATGTGCCCCGTTATCGATGATAAATATTCTTGTACCGTCTCGCACGTACTCGATTCACTCTAAATTCGTAGTTAGTGTTTTGCCAGCAGTATCTGGATTTCAACCTTTAAGCCCTTCTGCTTTCACTAAGCTAGCGGTCAGGCTCTTCTTTTTCATCGCAGCATCACACGATCTTCGGAACCGAATGATTATTAGTATTCCCTTCCATCATCTCCGTCATCCTTTTTGGTTCCTGTTTTTTTTTTCGTTCTTTTTTATCTGAAACCGCTTGCAATTTTATGCAGTTGTAGGTGTGTAACAGTTCAATTTAAAATCTTTTACTCACATATGGGCAGAGAATATGTATTTTTGCCGTGCAGTATCATAGCGCGGCAACAATCAGTTAAAGCGCATATTGTGACGACCCAAAATGTGTGTTTGTGTCAGTTTTTGTCACTCACATTCAAGTCAGCTGAAATTTCACAAGAATCCTCCCAGTTTATGTGCTATTCAAACAACTTAAAATCAATGTTCAAGCGTGCTTGGGTCTAATGAACTGAAACCTGAAAAACGCGTCAACTTTTTAGCGGGAAAAGGATTTTGAAAGCAGACAGGACACGAAGCTGGAGATTCAGTTGAATATTCTCTGTCCGCCTGTGAGCAAAAAATTTTAGAGCCAGTTACTATACACGCCCACAGCACGCGTTCAGATACATAAAGTTGGATTTCAGAACTGCTGGCGAAACGCCAGCTCAACTGGGGTTAAGTAGCTTGATTTCACGACAGTATTTGTGCTTGCAGCATTAGATTTAAAATAAAGTATAGTAGCAATTATAGTGAAAAATGGATTCATAATGATAGTGATAATAATAATAGTAATAATAATAGAGGTGGTAGTAATAATAGGAACAACAACATTATAGAATAGTAGCAGTAACGAGTGGTACGTCTTAAAATAAATTTGACGTACGCCTGTACGGCGGATTCGGAGATGCCAAAGATATTTGTGACAAAAAACGATTTCACCAACAGGCAATTGAAATTTTATAATATTTCAAATTTATCTTTAAAATACGCCTAAGTTATGCGCGTGTAGAAGTTGGATATTTAGTTCTGACGCTACTGGCATTTAACCAACTCGATAACTAAACTGAGCAGAAAGTAGCAGTTTTTAAGGATGTTTGCTTTTCGTGTGTTAGCTTCCACGCGTGAATTATGAGGTTCTGTCTAAGTACAACTGCGTCAAATGTTCAAACTGCAACATCATAACCACATTCCAGTAGTAAAGGCAACCTTTTTACAGGATGGAATCATGCAAAAATACATGGTTGCACCGATAAGCACGATGCCTGCTACTCCGGTAATTTGTTAGTCCTCTGTGCACACTAAATCATTCTACAAGCAAACTTAAAACTTCTTCCTTATTCACTTTCCATATGAGGCTGAAGCATTCAGAAGTGGCCCGTGTGTTGGTAAGTGTCAACAGCAGCCGCTTCATGGTAAGACCGCCTTCTTTCAAGAGTTATTACTGAAGCAAGCTGATGGCAGGTTGGACATCTTGGCATATACCAGTACTAATTTACTATCGAATCGAATGGACAAATCGTTTAACAGGTAAATAACTTGAAATTTCGGAAGGTAAGTATACTTAACTTAGGAAGTTCATGAAAAATAGGAGCAAGCGCACCTCTCACAGCAACAACCCCACCGAATGATCTGAGAACTGTCACTGTGACATTGAATCCATCAGCCAGACACTGAGCGCCAAATTTTTTGATTGATTCGTCATGTGTTATTGTTACCGTTGTGCCGAAACTTTTCCATTTTTCTAAAATTAGCTTCGAATGGCATTACTTACTCCTCTGGATCTGCAACACATCCAGGCATTTTCAAGGCTTGCCCACACAATTACACAACTATTACAGCAGCAGCTGCAGAAATCCACAGTTCCGACCAAATCTTAGTCATGTTCGGAAATCGGAAACAGCAAAGCAGGTAGGTTTGTTGTTTCTGGTTTCTGGATATGCTAAGGCTTAACGAAAACTAGTAGCCGTCATGATTTTCAGAAAATGAAAGACATGGGAGACATTAAATGCAGAAACTATATGTTTCAAAAGCACATTCAAACCTTGCACAATAGAGCGGACACGTTGCTCTAATTCATCGGCAACTTGCTTTTCATCAATTCCTGTTGCATTAAACAAATTTTGTGGATTTTCACTGAGCAACTGCTTAAACAGTTCAGGATTTGAGTTCTTCATTAATACCATTAATACTGTGATATTGCTACGATGAAGAAGCTGCAAAAATTCCAAGGCATGTCAATCAAAGCAGCACATATAAAAAGCATTTCAGTAAATAATAGCAGCGGTAGGATGCGTAGCACCAGTCAAAGTATTGCCAACTGCACTGCAGCTGATCAAAATACCAAAGCAAGCAACAACAAATGAAAAATCTGCCATGAGAATAGTACCCACAAGGCAGTAATCCGAAAGGTTTCCAGAAAGTCATTCCACTTGCACCGTACGTACAGATGGCGAATCTAGCTACAACGTGCAATTAAAAGCAAAAGAGCATGACATAACTTCACAGATACACTGAGACTTCATGACAGTTTTCTGTGAGTTCTTGGTAGTCACGATGCATTAAAACTGCACTAGTGAGGTTTTTGAAACGCGGAATGTCTCTGAATGGCAATGAACCGTTTTTACCTGTGTGATTTCGCGTAAACCTTCATCAGACGTTGAGTCGCTGATCGCTACCAAGATATTTCCAGCATTATCCCGATCGCCCTGCAGAACCGAAATGCTTTTAGACTGAGATCAAAAAGGCAATGAAAAACCCAGGCTGCAATGCACCAGGCTTGTCGGTACGACCATGAGTTTTTGCGCTGAACTTGCAGATCGCAAACAGGAATGGCTTCTGCACTGCAGTTTGACAACTGGACTCATACTGGCTGTGTTTTGGCCTTTTCCCGCGTGCAGAGGGAAAGGGCATTGGCTGAGATGGAGGCTTTGCATTAGAGGGCGGCATGGACTTACAACGTGCATGATTACCAGTTTTTTGCAAGAAACCCGGTCGTTTTCCCAGTGAATACTCATTCTTGAAAAAATGCAAATTTGAAAGAAGACTGAAGAAGACTGTGAAATTTGCAAAATGTACTCGCTTTTGGGTTTGCGATAAAATTGAGCCTCTTCCACGCCTACGCGCAGGAAATTTCACCCCCAACCTGAATTAAGACCGCGCATGGATATGGAATATCCCTGCTAAGTTCCAGCTTCGCAGCTCGTCCAGCAAGCAAAATAGCCTTTCGGCGAGTTTTCGAGTTAGCATAGTGCCAACTGCGAAATTTTACGCGGCCGCACGCGCGGTACAAGCGTGAGCGATATTGAATTTAAAATCTTTAGCTCATACGTGCATGGAGAATATCCCTGCAAAGTTTTAGTTTTATGTCATGTATGGATCACAAAATCGCTTCCTGCAAAAGAAATCTGGACATTTTTTGGGGGCCCGCAGGCAAGATCTAGGCGATTTTAAAAGGAGAGATGACACATGGGGTGGGAATATGATCTCAAAATTTCAGCCTCTCAGCTTTCCTGGTTTCTGAGTTGAAAGTAGGTGACAAAGATCACTTGTTTCCGAACGCGCGCACACACACATTCACAAACAGACGGATGACATGTCCAAAATATGCGTTTTGCTTACTGAAGCTGCACAGCAAAAACGCATAATTATGATTTGTTGATCACATGTGAAATGGTCATTACCCGCCGTTTGGTAAAGCCGAACTGCGCAGCTTTTTGTATGGCGTTGGCCAGATTACTCACTCCATTCATGTATTCCGTATCGGCGATATCAGCGATAAGACACGGCTTACAGTTGTGCTTACGGAATGAGAACTCCAGAACTGGCTCGTGTGTAAAGTGCACCAGTGAGACCTGTATTTATCATCATAGCATTCTGTGATTTACAATTGAAATTTGCAACTAAAATCAAGATTTTCATCATATTTCACTCTGCTATGGAAGGCGAAGCGGAGTACTTGAAGGTAACTCCTGTGGTAACACATTGCTAATCATAGGTTAACCTGCCATTAATCTCTTTACCATTATTTGTTTACAAATGAAACGTCAATCAGACCTATTTAAGTATTAGAAACGAAAGTCGGGTTGCCACCAGCTGATGTGGTATTGGTTGAAGCAACTGAAAGTGGAGAAGTTGCTGGCTGCACAGGAATAGCCATATTAAGAATTAATAGCTGTTCCAGAATTCCACGCAAGATTTTGCTAACACTTCAGGAATAGTGATCAAGGAAGGGATCAACTGATAAGGAGTTTGGAAATAACTGCATGAAATTCGGTAGCATAAACGCTTCACAATGAGAATCCGAGTTACTGTAATCATTTCGGTAGCAGTTTGAACGAACCTGTAATCCGTCAGGACCAATGTTGTCAAAATGCTGCACAGTGTTCTCCACAATCTGCAACGCCTGCTGGAATTCTGTCTTGTTGACGTTGCCCGACAGGCCGATCAGGAAAAGCAGGTCGAATTTTGTTTTATCAGACCGTGTGCTTGCTATCGGACATTCCTCTAAAAATCAGTTTTGTTAAAGTCAAGTAACGTACTACTATCGTTTTGAGAAGCTTTATTATGCGTTTTTGCTTACAAACAAATTGCAAAGACGACCCTTGGTGTGCGTGCGTGCGTGTGTGTGTGTGGGTGTGCGTCTGTCCGGGTATTTCAACTCGGCAAGCTTCGGCGCTGAAATTTTGCCTACAGGTCCCCACCCAACTACCACTTCAGGACCACGACACCAACTGTCACGCAAGCCTGGGCCCCGCGCACGAGAGGGTGAAAGTTTTGGTGGGGAAACCGTTAACTCGAGAACTAGAAAAGCTAGAAAGCTGGAATTTTGCGGTTGTGTCCCCCGTCCACCTGCAACTCAAAGATTTCAAATTCAGTCTCCAGATATGCGTAGTCCCCACGTACGACCCCGCGCGAAAATCGCTAGTTTGGGAAGCCAGAGAACTTGGTAGAATGAAATTTTAAGGGGGTGTTCTCAGCCCATGTACAACTTGAACTTAGCAAATTCAGCCTCTGGGCATGCGTGGTATTCACGTATAGCCCTACGAAATTTTTGGCGGGAAAATTTCTAACTCGGGACCCAGGAAAGCAGGGGGACTAAAATTTTAAGGGGTTGTTCTCAACTTCCGTGAAAGCTAAAAATATCAAACTTAGCCCCCAGGTATGCATGGTTCTCTTGTACGACCCCGTGAAAATTTTTGACAGAAAGAATTACTAACTCGGGGAACAGGGAAGCTGGGAGACTGAATTTTTCAAGGAATGTTCCCAGTCCATGTACAACTTAAATTTATGGAATTCATCCCCAGGCGTACGTGGTTGCCACGTGCGGCATCTTGAAACTCTTGGGCGGGAAAATGGCTTAATGGGGAACCAAGAAAGCTGGGAGGTTGAAATTTTAAAGGGATGTTCCTTGTCCAACTACCGCATAGACAATTAACTTCTCGGACTTCAAGGAACTGTATTTCACACAATTCTAGCTGCTGAGCTCTGAGCGACCCCATTACGGCACGAAATAATGCAAAAACGCATGATCGCACGGGCCCGCCCGGCGCACATCGCCAATGATTTTAATGAGTTTTGTACTGCAGTTATGTTTTATGCTACAACAGTTGCACAAAACGCATATTTTCAAAGACTTTATAAGTGCGAGTGCGCTTTATCCGGAGTCTTCAACCCGGGAACCAAAAAAGTTAGGAGGCCGATATTTTATGGCGATGTCCAACCCAGCATATGCCCAGATCTCACGTATGATAATGGAAAGTTCTAGTGTTAAAATTAATTTTTCTCTTATACATCACTTTCCTCTTATACATCATCATATCCGCAGAAAACTTTGACTTCCTAGCCCAGCTAACTCTCGAAATCGCTTCTCCTTAAAAATTGTTTGACATGTAAGTGTGATGCAGCTGTACGTAAATGCTTATTCCACGTGTACGGACTCATACTTGTGCAGCAAATATCTCGCAAAATTATAAAAACCTACTCGCCTGGTTTTCGAGTTGGTATTTTGTTAGCTGTTGTAAAATCGCAAATTTGACATGTTCGTTTTCAAGACGCACGCGTGCATTTGAGCTAAGTTTAAAGTCCTTAGCTCACATAAGGACACATAATGTCCCTACAATATTTCAGCTTCCTAACTTAAATGGTTCCTGGAATCGCCTTTCCGCCAAAAAAGTTGTCATGTACTTTTTAAGGGGTCTGTGCGCTGGGCGCACCAGAACAATAATTTCAGACATGGAGCATCACACATAGGGCAGAAACATGATCCAAAAATTTCAGCATCTTTCACTGGTTACTAAGCTGAAAATAGGTGGGAAAAATACGAACATGCATTCACACATACACGCACGCACATAGACAATCTCTCATTTGCACAAATATTTTTGCATTTGCATAAATGTGCAAAAACGTATGAAAACCTGCACTGACAGCCACAAGCTGACAATACCCAGGTTCGGTTGCTTTTGTTTTTTCTGTAAATTGGCCAGAACCGGTCGTTGACTTCTCCCGCGTATCCTGCAGTGAGAAGATCGTATGCAATCCGATAATTCAATAGTGATTAATTGAAGCAGATTTCTCTAATGAAACTACAAGGTAGTTTAAATGCCATTATTGGAGCTTCCAACATATACCAGAAATGGCAACCGTGTAGTTGTAAAAGAAGGCCTCAGAGTCACCAACATGAAATGGAGAACACAGTTAAGTGAATTATGTGAGTAAAGAACAAGGCAGAATGAAAGTAACAATTGCATCATTGTCGAGAAGTACAACAATGAAAGAAAAGCAGATCAAAGTATCAAAGTATAAACCATAAACAAATGTTAAAACACTCGATAAAAGCAGACACCCAAC